ATAGTGATACTGCCTCGGAAACCCAAGGAGGGGTCGCTATGAGTCTGGTTTGACTCGACGGCAAAACAACAACAACAACAAGTGGAGTATTGTCCGATAGAACTTTCTGAGATGACGGGAATGTAATATAATATCCATTCACTAGGCACACATATGAGCACTTGACTGTTGGGGAACTGAGGAACTGAATTTTAAATTTTATTTAATTGTAATTAAATTTTAAATTTTGACTAAGGACTCTCGTATTGAACAATACTGCTGTAGCGCTGCATGTTTGTATGTACATACATGAAGTAAAGGGAGAGAGAAGGAAGAGATCATTATTTAGGATAATGGGACCCTGCCCTTATTCACTGTTCAAGATGGGTTTAAAGTGGAATGTAATTAATTCTGGGAGCTATTTGCTACATTTCCTTTTCTTCCGTTTTTCATTCCAATATCTATTATGATAATAACTATTTATTAGATAGGATATTGTTAAAATAATTTTGTGTTCTTTTAATTAACCTACAATTTCAAAGCTAGATATTCCAAGTATATTAAGCATGATGCAAATGAAATTTGATTACTTGACCTGTTCTTAAAACCTTTTGTTGTGTGAATCTATAAATGGAGTTTATGAGACAGCTGGAATGTACTGGTAATTAATCAATATTTGGAGTAAAAAGATATAGTTTAGAGCCTGGAGGTTATTCATTGCCGTGTAGTCTTTTTTATCTGCTTTTAGCCTCAGTTTCATCATCTGTGAAATGAAGATAATAGCAATTACCTTATGTGGTTTTTATGAGGATGAGGTTATATAAAACAATTAATAGATTTTCTGGCAACTAATAGTAATTAAAAAATAATAATTATGATAATAGTTTGGAATCCTCTATTTTGCTGTGAATTCCAAACCTATACAATGAGTATCTCATTATTATAATTAAATAATAACATTTCCATCCTTTTTGCTAATTATTTTATTTAGTTTTGTACTTGTACAGGCAACACTCATTTCAATATTTAACTGATTTTGTACCTGTTGTCTGAAAAGGGCAGTAATAGTATAGTAACATAAAGAAATAGAAATAATTAAAATAACTTTTTCTGTTCTCCACATGCATAAAATATAAATATTTCTATAAAAGCGTATTGCTTAGCAGGTTTTATGGGGGAAGTGATAAGGTGGTATGACTGTTCATCTTATGTTATTCATAATTAATTCAATATATATTAGTATTTGATAAACAATAAATCGTACATAGATAAACCAGTGCCTTTTCCTCTATAAGCTACTGACTTGAATGTGTATCCTAATCATTTTACATTCTTGTCAAAAGATGTAACTTCATTGTTGTATTTGTTGTTGGTAGATGCCATCGAATATGTTTCAACTCAAAGTGACACTGTGTACAACAGAACGCAGCACTGCCTGGTCTTGTATCATCCTCAGTCATTGCTGTGCTTGAGTTGAGGCCTTCATTGCAGCCACTGTGTCATTCCATCTCATTGAGGGTCTTCCTCTTTTTCACTGACCTTATGCATTACCAAGCATGATATCCTTCTCCAGGGAATGGTCCCTCCTGATAGCCTGACCAAAGTGCAAGAGACTAATTTGGGCCTTTCTTGCTCCTAAGGATCAGTGTAGCTGTACTTCCAAGATAGATTTGTTCATTCTTCTAGCAGTCCATGATATATTCAGTATCCTTCGCCAATACCACAATCCAAATGCATCAATTTTTCTGCCGTGTTCCCTATTCATAGTCCATCTCTCACATGCATATGAGCCTATTTGTAAATACCCTGGCTTGCATCAGGTGCACATTAGTATTCAAAGTGACATCTTTGCTCTTTAACACTTTAAAATGTTTTTAAAGCAGATTTGCCCACTGTATCTGATTATTTGAATGCTGCTTCCATGGGTGTTGATTTTGGATTCAAATAAAAGAAAATCCTTGACAGCTTCAATCTTTTCTTTTTTGTTGTTGTTGTTGTTTGCTGTTGAGTCGGCCCCGACTCATAGCGACCCCTCCTTGGATTTCCGAGGCATTATCACTACGGAAGTAGGATTTCCCAACCTTCCTTCCGAGGAGTATTCAATTATATATCAATACTTATATGTAAAACATATCTTTAATAGCATTGCAACATATATCTGATTTAATGTAAATTTATGCTGATGTCAATACAGTCATTTTATGGATTTTAACTATTTTCATTATCTTCTGATTAAAATACTTTCATTTATGTAAAGGTACAGTTGTAAGAGTCATTAACTTGTTTCTTAATAGAAATGTTCCTTTACCTGTAGAATATTATTACAAGCCATTAAGCTAGAATTTCTTCTGGCATAAACAATCCTAGCAGATGGCAACTTTTCTCTCTGTTGATTTTTGATTAGGCATGTACTTTGGCCTGTTTGGTCATGTCATAGTTGTCACAAGGATCAATCAAGTAAACACAATGATAATATCATTATGGACAAGTACAGTATGCAAGTTATATCCCATACTATTGCGTCAATATAAAGATTTATGGTTTCTTATTGTAAGTAAAACCAGACATACTGCTCTCAATTTGATTCAACTCATAGTGACCCCTCCTTAGGTTTCTGAGGACTTTCGCTATGAAAGTAGATAGGAAGGTTAAATTATCCATTAAGGCATCAGTTTCATACTAACTTATTTGGTGTGTCTTTTAAGGTAATGCCAAGTGTATGGCAAATATTTAGGAAATTGTGTATTTTATCTTCATAATTGGACATTTGTTTAAATTGGACTGCATTGTTAAAGTTTCATTTAGATATCTAATATTGTTAGGAGCTCTGGTAGCTTAGTGCCTAAGGCACATGACTGCTAACCAGCAGGCTGGCGGTTCAAACCCACCAGCCGCTCCTTGGAAGGAAGATGGGACAATCTACTTCTGTAGTGATACTACCTCAGAAACCCAAGGAGGGGTCACTATGAGTCAGGTCTGACTCGACGGCACATGACAACAACAACAATAGCAACAACAATATTGTTAGAAACAACCACCTGAATCATCCCTTATAAAGCATGTAACTTTTGATTTTTGAACGTGGATGTGAGGTAAATGGGCTAATTTTCAAAATGGATGCATATGGCAGAGATATAAAATCAAAGATAATGCAGTAGAATTGTCAGACTTGGAACCTGTGTAAGGCAGAAGGCTGTGATATAAGGAAGACTCATTGGGTGTTCATGAGGTAGAATTCAGCACCCTGTTAAAGGTGGAAAACTTGTGAGACCTGGAAAAACAAGGCAGTCTCTGTGAGTTTGGCTTCTTGCAGGTTTCACTGTATATGTTTTTATGTTATATCCATACTTTGAAAGAATAACTATCATATTGATAGGTCTGGGTGAACTTAGTCAAAAGATGCTTGAAATATCATCTGGCAGTCTTCTTACAGTCAACTGTTTGAGCACTCTACTCTTAGTTGCTTGCTTTAAAATTAATCAATTTAAATATGTAGCTCTTTGATTAAACTAATAGCTGCCTTAGACTTGAACAGAAATTTCCAGAAGTGCTATTCAGTAATAATGTATAGAACCCCAGGCAATTAGCATTTTGTTGATTCCATTCTAACTTGCAATTACTAGAAAGTAAGTTCCCTTTTATAATAGGGAACTTTAAAATAAGAAGGTAAGGAAAGCCAAACTCATTTTCCAGTATTAACATAATTAATGAAATCCTTTTACTTGACAAGCCCTTATATTTATTTTATTATGAAATGTACAGTAGTATTGGTGTCATGGTGCCTTCTAGATGATCTTAATTTACTTACATTCATTTTTTCATACATGGTAATTTAAATCATTTTAATTACGTATTTTAATACTCAAAATATTTTTTGCAAATATATTTGAAGAAGAAGGTGGAGGGTATATAAATCAGTTTAATAATTTCTCCAAGTTATCACTGCTCTCTGTTTAATATCAGGGTACTTTTATAACTATATTTGATTTGCTTTAGAAAAATGTTTATCACCAGGTAGAATTGAGGCCAAGAATTCTCTGAGGAGAGCTGGATATACATTTCACAATCTTTTTAGAGGGCTATATATGTATACTTATGGAACTTTAGGTTTCTCAGAGGGAGTTTAATTTTCCTTTATATTGTTTAGCAAAGCATTACAGTACTTGACCATCCATCAAATGTTCCATGGTATTAAGACATTAAGACATTAGAAAATTTGTTAATTTTGCTGTTTATACTCTAAAGTGATCATTGCCATTATGCCTGTGAAGTATTTACATTTTTTAACCACATTTGTAATATGTCTGTATGCATTTAGTGTGGACAGATGAATAATTATTTGAATGCATTAAGTTTATATTTTCTAAAATTTTTAAAAGTGTCTTTTTTTTAAAACAAAATAAAATTTGCTTTCCAATTGCAGGTGGCCTGCATGCAGTTTATAAATGCCCTTGTAACCTCTCCGTATGAACTTGATTTTCGAATACATTTAAGGAACGAATTTCTCCGTTCAGGTCTAAAGACAATGTTACCAGTAAGTTGAATATATCCATTACTATTGATGAACTTTACTGCTTTTTCTTTTCAGACAGAATACTTGAAACAGAGTAAATAAATGTTCCTTGTTATTTTCTTTTATAAAACATCAAACATTTCATAAGCTTTTTTTAATATTAGAGTAACAGCAGTTACTATGTTTAACTGATTCAGAATTCAACTAATGACATGTCCAGAAGTGACATAGTTTTGTTTTTTTTTTAAATCGCCTTAAAGTCAGTAGGGCTCCTCTTTTCTTTATTACATTCTATATCGAGGCCATGAAAGATTACTATTTTTGTAGTTTCAAATATCATTGAAAAATTTTCCTTTTCCTATTTGATAACTTAGATTGTTTTCATCTATGGTTAGCATAACCATGTGTAGAATTTTGACTAGTGTATTCTATCCATATTGCTTAGGAATGGTACTCTTGTTGTATATCCACCCCTCACTTATCAACATGGTGAGATTCCAAATACCAGGACATTATACAAAACTGGAGGATGACCAGATCAGATCACAAAATGGAAGATGACTACATCATTACAGAACTTCCAAATGATATCATTACATAAGTGCCAAACCACTGAGAATTATGGCTCAGCCTAGTTGACGCATATCCTTAACCATCATAGTCAGTCAGCATTTCTCTTGCCTCACACCTTAGTGTTCTTTATTGCCATATGTATGTCATTAACATGCAAAATAGTTGATTTTTTACTATTGTTATAAATATGAAATGTCAGATAATGGATAGTCGATAAATGACTAGGAAGTATAATGGTTTAGGAACTTTGTAAAGAAAAATAATTTTATTTCTTAAATTGAATGTGCATATTTGCTTTAACTATGCTCATGTTGGAAAACATCTTGGAAATACATTTATAAGCTTGGATTGAGATAAATGAGCACATTTACTTTAAAAATAACACACACAACTCTTTTGGCATTATAATTTACTAAATATGTTAAGTGAAGAATAATATTGTTCCAGACTATTACCTTGATAAAGGAAATTAGTAAAATCTCACAAGTCCATTTTTAAACAACTCAGGACACACCTAAGAAGCTAAAAATAAAAGTTAGGGATAGAGAAAAAAAAGAACCAAAGAAAGGGTGAAAAAATGTCAGTATGTATCTAAGTCTTGGGTTGTTAGAAAACCAAAATCAGAGTTGTTTCTTGGTGAGAAACTAGTGTTTATTGTGCTTCTGTAACTCATAATTTGTTAGTCCTGCTGAAAGTAGTTGAAACCGGTTATAATATGTATGATTGGATCTGCTTAATTTCAGAAATTTCTTACCCACGTTGAGTGGCTCCTTAAAATAAAAGGATTGTTTGCAGTGAGTCAAAACAACATTTTAGGTGACCCATATAATGATTCAGTATTCAATGAACTTAGGCACATTCACCAGTTATTGTATGTGTAATACATGCGTATTCTTCTTGATAAAATTTCTGCTCAAAAAAAAGATTGATATGGCTTTAGAGAGCTAGAAATAATGTTGTAGTCTTGATTCTAGTTTGCTTTTGAGTTGCTTTCTTCTTGGTTTCCATGTTTGTCCTTACTGGGTTGGTCTGTTTTTGGGAGAGTAATGTCTTTGAAACATGCTTGTTGTCTTCTGGAATCCTTTTACCATCCTCCATTCATTCCCTAATCCATGTTTTTTTCTGCCTTAGTTGTTACTATTACTGTTTTATCTTCCATTTACCTCTGTCTGTGAACATTTTCTGCCTTATATTACTGAAATGTGTCTCTTCTTTTTAATTTATTTTAGTCCTCATCTTTGCAGAAAAAGATAAGGATGGTAGCCTTCATTCTTAGTTTTTACACTTTCATCTGAGTGTATTAATCTCTCTCAGGTTCAGTGTCTTATGGTATATTATTCATTTGGCTATTCTGATAGTTGAGATTTTTGCATCAGTATTTCCAAACTACACTTTCCCATTGACCATCTGGCCCTAAATAAAACTTTTGTTGGCACCACATACTTCTTAATTTATATGTTATAAATATATACATCCAGTCAGATGTTTCACTGGCACATCTCTTTACTATGCCTTACTTCTCAGATATTATTGATGCCTCAGCAAAAGTATAAATTGTCATGATTTTCTCTTAAAAATTTTGAACTATCAGAAGACTCTACAGGAATTCTCAAAGAATTTTTTCTTTAAAAGACAGTGGAGCTATGGAATCCACTTGCATCAAGTATAACGGCTAAATATGACTGATTCTCAAACAAGTGGTGGGGTATGTCTCCTTAAAGAGATACTGTCAATATCTTATTGAGGGTCAGGCAGACATGTTTCTTTTGTGGGGCGCGGGGGGGAGGTAAATCTGACAGAAAGAGTAGAATAAGAGTCCTGGTAGATAGTTTCTATGAAGATTGGAGGTCATTCCTTTAATAGAGTCCATTGATTCTACTACTGTTGTTTTTGTTGTACTTTTATTATTATGATTTGGAGCAAAGGACAGAATGATCATACTTTCATGTATGCTGTTGTTGTTGTGTGCCATTGAGTCAGACCCAACCCATAGCGACCCCTCCTTGGGTTTCCAAGGCAGTATCACTACGGAAGTAGATTGCCCCATCTTCCTTCCGGGAAGTGGCTGCTGGGTTTGAACCGCCAGCCTTTTGGTTAGCAGTCAAGTGCCTTAGCCACTATGCTACCAGAGCTCCCTAATGTATGCTAGTTGTACCTAACTAATGCTGTCATCTATAACTAATTAATTTACTATCTAAATAACTAAACATTGAAATTAAAAATGTTTAGAATTTACTGCAACATTAAATGTCTTTTACACATGCACTAAAAACAAAAAAACCTAAACCCATTTATTGGAATTCATAGTGACGCTGTAGGACAGAGTAGAACTGCCCACATAGAGTTTTCAAGGCTGTAAGTCTTTACTGAAGCAGATTGCCACCTTTTTCTCCTATAGAGTGGCTGGTGGGTTTGAACTGCTGACCTTTTAATTAGCAGCCTGGCACTTTAACCACTGTGCTACCAATGCTCCACACATGCACTAAAGCTTAAAATAATATTGTCATAGATGAGCCATTCAAATACTTAATTTTTCTATTTTTTCGTACTTCAACAATCTTAATGATATATACTCCCAAATTTTCTAGAATATAGTGTATTCAAAGCAGCAAAGAGCAGATGTGGCTAAGGCTAATATTAATAAATAATAAGGAACCCTGCAAGCATAATGGTTAAGTACTCTTCAGTCTAAGACACTGTATGGGAAAATTCTACTCTATCCTGTAGGTTTGCTAAAAGTTAGAATCAATAGTACACAAAAACTGGGCTAATATTAGTAGTTGGTGCATGGATCAAAAATAAAAATTATCCCTTCTCCGGAACTATTAATGTTAGGGAAGACCAATTCTTAGTATTTCAATAGCCCCTGAGACCATCATAATATAATAGTAGAATGAAAGTTTTTTCTTAATAATTATCAGGATCTTAGAGACAAGGACTATTATTTTAATTACATTCTGAAAAATAACTCTTTCAAGATCTTTCCCCTATCTCCAAGATTGAACTTTGGTTTTTAAATGAATTTTATACTTCACTTATCTGGAAAATGCACTGTTGAGAAATAATTGGGAATCAATGAGTGGTTGTATAGTATACAGTGACTTGTAAAAAGATTATTTGCTCAGTATTTAACTTACATGGATTTCTTGTAAAGTTCTCACCATTTACCTTTTATTTAGCTAAATAAATTAAGTGAATATTAGGTTAAGTGAGATATGTGAAGGAACAGGATACGAAGAGATTGTATCTGTGGCAAGTGAGCATTATTCATCTCATGTAAGAGAGTGACAATTCATGGTGATAAGTAGTGTACTGGTAATGGACTTTGATTTCCTTTGAAGTACACTATACTATAGAAGCTTAATTATATCTGCAGGGAATCAGTAAAAACAGTTCAATATCGATGGAGCAGGTATGTTTAAAGAATATCTGAAAAATATTTATAAGATTTCACGTAATAATAGTATAACTCACTAATTTTATGATATTCTACATTTTAAAATACAAAACAATAATTACACATTTCCATTTTCTTTTGTAGGCTATCTATCACATTCTTTTTGCTATATAAAAAGAGTACTAATTTATTAAAATGATTATTTTTGTCAAGAATTTATAGATGTGTCTTTCAAGGTTTGACATTTAAATCAAAATTAAATATATGTGTATACATGTATATATTTATATCAATATGCTGGGCACATTAATAATAATATTTAATACATAGTACGTTTATGCATACCTATATTTTTTATATTCTGCAATATGTGTTCATATGTACGCTGCATAAATAATGTCTAGTTTAACTGAAAGCTAAATTACACATTTAAGCAGTTATTTTCACTGAAAATATTTTAATTATGCAGAAAATATTTTAATTATGCATGTTTTCTAAAATTCTAATGCTGATTACCTGAAAATATTGAACTTAGTTTTGAATGTATTCAAGTTTTATGATGAGTGTCTAAGAGAACATATATTGTGATATAAAAATAAGAAAATGCACGTACTCTACAATGTGTGAAAGATTGTTTCTTCAGTAATTAATGTATTGATTGTATCCGGTTTCCATTACTTTCTGAGTTAAGAAATCACCTGATAATATGACCCACCAATGTTAGATAATGTTACATTCCGATAACTTTTCTCATTCCACTTAAAAGTGGATAAGTAGATCTAAAGCAAGTTATTACTAACCAGAAAAGTAAGTGTAAATAAAATTATTTGTCATGTTTTATATGGAATTATGGGATATATTATTAATTATTTTCATATGCCCTGGAAGCATATTTTTTGTAAAATATTATAAATGTGACTATTAGGAAAAGAACACCTAGAAATTGCTTACATTTGAGTTTGGCTTTAGTAGTAGCAATTTATAATTCTGTTGACTAAAAATAATAAGAAGAAATGCATCCCATGTTGTTTCATCTACCTAATTTGAAGTACATCATGCTTGCATTTCCTTTTAGAGTTCAAGCTCAGCTCTGAACATCCTAGTCCCACTTTTGGTATCACCCTTGAGCATCCACAGTTGTGATTATCGATTTGGGTTTTGAAAGCTGCAACTTTAATGGACACATATTAAAAGATCTTCCAGGTGATATATATTAAGCCCAACAATCTCTAGTGTGGCATGCTTCAAAGGTTTTTTTTTTATATTATTTTGAAAATTATCAGGGGTTTGTAATGCATGTGCTTATAATGTATTACAAAAACAAATCTTTGATGCCCAAGTGGGTATTTTGTGATTAGGCTAAGCAAAAATGAAAGGTGGGGAGGAAACAGGAACATGTAAATTGATAATAAGTCCTAAAGCCTTTTTGCTTTAAAATCACAAAATATCATGTAAAATAAACTTCTTTGTAGAACATTTCACGCCATACTTGGGACTGTTGTGCTTGAATATATCCTTGCATTTGTTCTTCATTAATACAATTGATCTATATTTGCGTTCTTTTGCCAGAGGCATATGTGAATGTTCTAATTGCATGAGTTCTTTTGAAATCTTTGATTAGTGTGTTTAGTCAAGATGACAGCATTTAATTTGGGTTGTTAGCAATTAGTTTTGTTTTCTTCTTCTTCTTTCGTTTTAAAAGTCAGTTTTTTAAAATTTTTTTTTGTGTATAATGTGAATAATCAAAATCTGAGGCATGGTAAGACAATGAAATGAATGCAATGAGATCCTTTAATTTGAAATAGAAAAAAAAAAGCTGTGTTTATTTTCTTTTAGGATACGAAGTGCCTAGGTCAATATTTGAAATTGCTTCCTTGTATGCAAATGAATAATAGTGTTTTGGCCTTTATTATGAAAGTATGCAGTTATCAAAGTGTTATTTGTCTGTTAAGCTTTATGTTTATATATTAGGATCTAAAAGAAAAAGAGAATGATGAGCTTGATATTCAGTTGAAAGTATTTGATGAGAACAAAGAGGACGACCTAACTGAATTATCACACCGTCTCAATGACATTCGAGCAGAAATGGAATATCCTTTTGACAAACCATAAAGTAATTTTGCATCTATTATGAAAGAAGGATTTGTGGGCAATTTTGTGGACTGTTGTTACAGTATTTGTTGCATGCTCAGTTTATATCAATTTATTTACATTAGAATTTCACTGTGATGCTGTTTTTGAGATACATGTTGAGGAATTTTCAGACTGTCCTGATGATTTACAAGTACTATGCTGAAATATTACACAGTGCTTTGCTCTGTTATAGATATATTCTGTTCAATAGTCTTCAGTAGACAAGAGCCTAAGGCAGTTTACCTCATGAATAAGGAGTTTTTGGGAAAAGTTCACTGAGTTCATATATGTCTACTGGTAATCTGCGTTTTCAGCTTATTAAAGGATCCTCAATGGCTTAGAGATAGATTTCAATTCAGATGAGTTATTACTTGTACAAATATTTTACATTATTTAACAAAAATAATATTTAAATGCAATGCTATCTGAGTATAACAAGGTGGGGTGGTTGAAGCATCCAAATTCAATACAGCTGGCATATGATCTTCCTATGGCAACAATTGATATGAAATTATTTTGGATCTGAGAGATCTTTGTCATAGTGTTGCCTGTCATTTGTTTTACATCCATTACATTTCTTCCTATGAATTCTGGAAATGTTGGGAAATATCTCAGAATCAAACTGACCTTTGAGCAGAACTGCTTCTGTATGAAGTCTTCTCCTTTTGCCTCCAAAATCTGCAAGTAATACTTCCTTGCCTCCATGATACTTTCTTTGTATCTCTCTTGTTTGTGTATATCTCTCTGCCCCTATGAGAAAGAGGATAGAAATGTTATAGTTCATCTTTTTCCTCCAGTGCTCCTATCAAAGTGTCTTACACATAGGTATGAGATAACTTTGTGTATAGTGAATAACTGAATGTTATTATTATAAGGAATAATTTCTAGTAATTTTTAATCCATCATTAGTGTTACCAGTCTTACATTAAATGTATTTCTATCAATTAATATATGTCTTGTTTTGTGTAGACTTCTCTTATAATTGAATTTCACAACACAGTTACATTTGAATCCATAATTGAACTCACCACAGAGTTACTTTTGGATCTATTCTATAGCCAATTAAAGGCCTGGTGAAACTTTTACCTCAAAATCTTAACATGAGGTCTAAGAAGTAATCCATCATTTACTTAATTCTACTTTGGAGAAAATTTTGGCATTTCAAGTTATTTTTACAATGTTGGATTACTTTTCCACTTTTGTTTTTCTTTTACTTTGGTTTTCCAGCTACTTATTTTCATAATAAAAGTGAACCTATCTATGAAATCTCTTTTGTAGTTTACTAAAAGCATTTATACTTTGGCCACTTTTTTTTTTTAACATCCTAAGAATAGTATGTTTCAATCTCGATGGTCATTATTCTCCATCTTTTATCAAATAATGAAATACAAATAAATGTAAACAATTTCAGATTTAAGAAATATTTAATCTGGACAAAATAAAACTGCCTTTATAATCTTGTAGTGTTCCATGAAGTCTAAGAAGGCTTGTTTGCCTTCTATATTACACACTAAAAAAAAAAACAAACTCACTGCCATCGAGTCGGACTCGACTCATAGCGACCCCTCCTTGGGTTCCTGAG